GCTTATGAGGGATGACAGTAAAACTCCCTAAGAAGATGTGAGGACGGCACAGGAGGGATTTTCTAACACAAATAATGTCCTGTGAGCCTCTGTACAAACACATGCAGTGGTTCTCAATCAATATCAAGAATGAGATCTGAGCCCCTGGTCAACCAGGATGCATCTCTTCCTCGTCTCCCTTGTCTTGGCCTCCTCACACCAGCCTGCCCCAGCTGTGCTGAATGCCCCGTCCCCGCAGGCTCAGCCTCTCTGCTCTCCACTTCTCTCTCTCTGCATCTTCCGTAGAGTCTCCATCCTCCACTCCCCTCATCACCACCAGGCAAATTTACCTCTCTCCTCATGTTTCTCAGTGGTGAAAACAATATCCAAATGTTCACAGAAATATTTGAAATACAATGGCACATGTTCTTAAAATCGAGAAGTTTACATACCGCGTATTATTTTCATGTGTTCTCCCTCTTTAAATGCACTTAGAAGTTTACTGCCCGCTTACTCTGTCCAAGGCGCTGTGCTTGGTTTATCTGGATCACCACGGGCTTGACCATAATCTGTGAGGACTGCACTTCAGTAGATGTTTGTAAGAAGATAAAGCTGAAATGAAATCTCTTTACCCCTTCTTTTTGGAACAGTGGGACAGAATTATAGCAGTTTAGAAAGAATTTGTAGGCCACAAAGTAGCGATGAGCTTTTAGCAGAGTGGGCTTTATGAATGTGCTTACAACTAATTCTGAAGACAGAAAATGCCATCCCCCAAATTATACAGTTGCAAATCATAGTTGTGCAAACTGTGGTAGTTTCTGTAGATTATGGTGACCAGCAGTATTTTAGCAGTTCTTACATTCCCAGTGTTCTTCTTGGACCATAAATGCGGTCCAGTTGTTGGAAGAATGTTGAGCAGCGTATTTCAAGAGTGAGTAGTTGGCTTGTTAAGCAGCCCTGATAGGACAACCACAGAAAATCATGGTAAATTTGACTCGTGTATGCAGTGTTGAGCGCTACCCACAGCACTCCTTTAATAATGATCTTAAATGCACACGTTAGACCTCACTTGATATATAATTACTTTTCTGTGATAACTGCTATGTTTGGGGGATCATTCATGAAGTTCATAGAGGGAGTCTTAGAAATTGCCTGGTTAAATATATTTGGTCTCATTAATTTTTTGGTTTGTTTTGCAATTACTTAGCAAAAAATAGGAATGAAATCACAGCCTTTTAAAATACCTTGAGAAACTCCTTAGATATTAATGTTGTAAGTGAATGTCCTTTTGCTCAGCACACATCTGTTGGGTGTCTAGGTAAGTCCTGCATTGTTCTGGGCACCGGGGGTGAGAGAGAGAGAGAGAGAGTGCCTCCCCAAACCATGTTGGATTAGGTGGTCAGGGAAGGGCTCCCTGTAAATGGAACCCTATAAAAGAAGTTTGCCCCATGGAGGCCTGTGTGGGGAGCATCATGGCAGGGGGAGACAATTGCAAAGGCCCTGAGCTGAGAAAAAGCTTGGTGTATTCAAAGAATAGCAGGTTGTGGGCATGTAGGAGAAGAGGATGGCTGGGGGGTATAGGGGCAGGAATGGCCACTGAGCAGGGTTTCTAGGATCCCATGCAGATCGGGTAAGGGAGGAGTTCTGGAGCCCTCAGGGGTTTTGCAGGTCTTTTATTGGGGTTCACTGGGCATATGGCAGGCAGGGGTGCTGGGGGGGGCGGGAGGCTGGCAGGCCTCCCAGCCCCCAGCAGATCTTCACTCTGGGCTTTCCGGCTTTCTCTCAGCTTCTGCTTCTCTTACTTCTCTCTCGGCTTCTCTTTTGGCTTTTGCTGGCATCTCCATGACGCTGCCCTTAAAAGCACGGTCTCAGCCCAGGTGAATCCCATCTACCTATGCCCACACCCTACTCCAGGTGCCGCCATCAGGCATGCATTCAGCGCCACAAGGATCCATCATCTATCCATCATCTATATAAAGGCCTGACATTTTTCCTTACCCTACAGGGGTATAGTCCCTGAGGTGGGTGTATGGGCTCAGACCTGAGATTGCTGGGGTCTCCTTCCAGCTGCAGTCGGTAGTCCCAGTAGGACTTTGTGCAGGGAAAGGGCATGTTTTATGTTTTTCTAAGAAAACCTGCCTGCTCTGGTGAGGGCGTGGGGGGGGGGGGCAGCGGGGCAAGCCCAGAGCCATGAAGCCATTCCATGGGGCCCGGGAGCGTGATGGTGGCTGGTAGAAGGGGAGAGCTGGAGGGAAACATCCAGCAAGCTTGGGTGTGGAGTAGACTGGATTGCCGATGGGACCGGGGAGTGGCAGGGAGGCGACAATAATTGATGACAGTGCAATATAAAAATGAGATAATGCGGCGATCGCCACTTAGCGCGTGGGAATTCCATTTCATTCCATATCCTGAGTTAAAAGTTATTGCACAGATTCATTATTACAGTGACACTGAGTTTTTCTCTTTTTAAGCAAATGCAATTCAGACTTACAGCTGCTGCCTCTTCTTTCTTAGCTGTAATGAATGAAAAGAAATTAACTTAGTAGATGGTTGTGAAAGGAAACAATTTCAGCTGAAAACAAAAGGACGGGCGTGACCTACACTAAAGTAGTTAATTTTGCTGATGGTCATTTGTTTTTTACAAATGACCTCTTGTGACTTGTACAAAGGTAGAAAATAGTCACATCTGCAGCTCTAAAGACTCATATTTAGTGTTGGTGTATCTTCAGACTTCTGATAAATTCTTAATTACAATAGACAGATTTTAGAAGGTGTGCGCCTCCCCAGTGGATCCCAAGTCCAGAGCCCCTGAAACATTTGTCTCCTACTGCCAGCTCCCTCCACATTCCTATCCATCCGAGTTTTCAATTCATTCCAGGTGACTTTGAGGTCAACTTGAGTAGCCTAGCCTCAAAGCCCTTGGTCCTCTGCTGTCGAGGAGAGTGGGACAGAGGGAACACGGGACTGTGGCCGAGCTACAGGGATACTATGGAAGGGGACAGTTGAACCAATGGGACTTCAAACTCCCACCTCTCCTGCTTCCTGCCACCACCGCTAGCTCATATTCTACACATGAGGCTTTAGGATAAGATGCTGTTGAAATTAAGGGCACAACAGGTTTTTTGTTCTTAAGATGTAAATCCACTAAACAGAAGCAAGTGCTGTCAAGTGTGAGTCACCAATATGAATGGACCGTCACTGGCCGGGGAGGGAAATTCACATCCCACTGACAGCCCCATGATCCACGTTTGTCTCCTACCCACATCCAACCTAACCAATGTCAGCCAGAATCTCAGAGAACTTCTCTGTCAGTTACACAGCTCATCCTCGCAGAGCTGTACGTTAGACTGGCTGCCGGATCCTGGTGATGTTCACCTCCACCAGCCATCTTCTGCTCTGGGTGTGGGTCCTTCCCCCTGGCGCCCACCCCTCCCTGCCACTGGAGAGTGACTTACTCTCCCCTGACCCATCTTTCAGAGAACAGAGCCACCACGGAGCGGACCGGAGCCCCCAGTGATGCAGGAGAGAGGGGAGCATTAACCTGAGCTGGGCCTGGCTGAGGGGGCAGAGGTTGAGCCTTTGGCACGAGGCCCCACTGCTTTACCTGTTAGATTTACCCCAGTTCACCTGGTGGTTTCCATAAAGCCCGCTTTCATCCATGAAGCCTCTTCTCACCCAGACCACCAGAGCAGGGTTCCAGCGCTTCCCTAGAGCCTCTGGAGAACCAAACAAATTAGGGGTTGGGGCCAGACACAGCACCCCGTCCTTGAGGAGGCCGGGCCCCCCAGAGCACCCAGACATCTTCTGGGGGGGCTCTGCTGAGTGCCACAGGCTGCCCTGTGCCCCGTTCAAGCCAGCTGTGGCCCCGTATCGCGAGAGAAAGCCCGGCTGACGGAGCCCAGGGGAGACTAGGCTGAAGCTGATGGGTATTTCTACTCGGCTGCCGGGGCTTCTCCCTTGTTCTGTAGGACCTTTGTCAAAGTGAACCCTTACAGAACCCCAAAGTATGGAACAGGGGACCCGGGTGTCGGCAGCCAACTTTCCTCTCCTCTGCTGGAGACACCCCTGCCTTCCGGGGAACCTCCCCTGGGATTCTAGGAATCCTGGGCCATAACTTGCCAGTGACTGCACCCTGGACGCCCGGAGTGCAGGGCAAAGGCAGGTGGCGCAGGGAACACCTCCTGGGTGCTGGGCAGCTGCCCCTCACCGCGGAGTCTGCCCCCCTTCCTACCGCCAGTGCCCTGCAGGTGCAGGGCGAGGCCATCCCAGCAGCACAGTTGTCCCCACCCCTGCCCGCACCCAGCGCATCCTCACCCCTATTTCCAAAACCCACCCGACTCTGTTGCTGCTCCGGCTCCAGCACCTGCGCCTCATGCTGGGGGAGAGGGAGGGGCTTGGGCGCAGCTCTCCCTCGCGCTGCCCCTGCACACCTGTCCCCCTCTGCCTACACCCCAGAAATCGCTGGTGAGCCGGTCCCGTTACCCTTCCCCGCCACTGCACCCCCACCACTCTAGCCCTAGATTTGGGATTCCTCCCCCAAAATTGGCTCACTGCCCTGTCTCAGCCCCCTTCACCCCAAGGTGCTGCGGCGCCCCCTGCTCCGGCTGCTCTCTGCGCCGAGTGGACATCGCCCGCCTGTCCCTCCACTGACATGGGCACGCCTGAGGTGGGAGGGGCCCCACCTTCCATCTCCAGAAAGGGCCCCCAACCTTTGCAAGCAGGAACCCTTCACCCGCCACAAACGCACTTGACCAGAGGTGCGTGGCCGCTAGTACTTGAATCAGCGCCGAGTTGATAATCACAGAAACCATTTTCGAAAGCCGCGTGGTTACAAGCCTTTTGGGCATCACTGGGGCGTCTTTCCACCGAGGGGACTTGGCCCGATAGTGACTGACGTCGGGGTGTTGCCTTCCTCATGGGGACTCGGTGAGGGTGGGGCGGGGTGCGCATGCCTGAAGGTGTGTGAGACCGATGGCTGCGTCTTTTAATGAGCTGCTCACTTGGAAATTGTCTTTCGGCAGGTGATGTATCACCCATCAGTATGTCTCCCATCAGTCAGTCCCAGTTTATTCCACTCGGGGAGATCCTGTGCTTGGCCATCTCAGCAATGAACTCGGCGAGAAAGCCTGTCACCCAGGAGGCGCTGATGGAGCACCTGACCACGTGTTTCCCAGGTAACCGGAGCTAGAACTTTCCAAATGTCGGCTGCTCGCGGCACTGGGGCTCAAATGCACAGTTCTCCCATGCTTAAGATAGGACAGAAACCAGTTCTTGACCAGAACCAACCAGAAGTTTGTCTTAGTGCTCTGGTCAGAAATGAAGCACCTGTGTTGCTTCAAAAATAACTTGCCTCCTTCCGCTGTGACACTTTTTTAATTGGCACCGAGAAAAAGAAATTCAGTCAGGATCATGGAGAATTCTGGCAAAGACTACCAAGATGCCATCCAGCTGTTGCAGCTCTACCTTCTTTAAACCCATCAACATAACTATTCCTGGGAGCCTGTGGGAGAATGTTGGTCCCGAGGGAGCAGGGACAGAGCGTCGTGTCAGAACTAACCCTGGCTTGCGTGCTGTGGCATGTCTGGTTGGCTTTTAAAAATATGATAGTTGATAAATTAGTGAAGATCTCTTTTTAAAAGAAAAATCAAACCAGTGTTTCCTTTTCTCTGTATTATAAAAAGAAGACATAGCCCTGCAGCTCGATATTTCCAATGCCAGAAGCAGGTTGGTGAGAAGCCCAAGAATTAATTCCCCATCTCGAGAGAGGCAGCTCACCAGTCAGTCCCAGTATATTGCCCTCCCCCCTAGAAAAACAACCATGTAGAACCTAGCCCGAGTGCTCGAATTTTCTAAATTTTCAAGAGATGCTGGAATTCAGTTCTACGTGATATCTCTGTTTCCATAAATGTTGGCATCTGCGTGTGCACATTTTAATTCACATGCCTGTGACAGCAACATCAAGGAAAACACTCTGGAACCATCGTTTTGCCAGCTTGGTTTAGACTCAGCCCACACCCAGGTTGACATGAGGCTTGCTTTAAAAACCAATGGTTGGCATATTTTCATTTGACCTAGGAGAAATCTTAGTAAATATACACTCTTGGCTGCATCCATTAGCTTTTGCACAGCACAACACAGCAACACATCTTAGTTCACATGTGTGTGTGGGTCCCCAGGGGACAGCTGAGCCAGACCCATGCTGGCCAGTGCACCAGCCTGTCCAGCCCGTGAGAACAAGGCTTTAGAAACTTAGCCCTGCTTGAGTTATGTCTGAAAAATGTACTTTTCATGACAATTCCAAACTCTGGAAGGTAAAAGTCTATTGTTTATATCTTACTATTTGAAAACCAAAGTTTTGAAGTTTAAACGATTTTGTTTTGCTAATCAGAATTATTTTTATTCATTCATTCATTCATTCATTCAAATGTGTAAACCTCTTTTGATACCGGGTAGTTTGCTCTCGTTGCAATAGCTTTGATTTACTTAATCTTCAAAATTCTTATTACTTTCTTTTCAATAGTTTTTAAAAACAAGAAACAGCACAGAGACTTTTCAGGAAAGGCAGAAATTTAAACTTAAGGACATAGAGACTTACAGAGAGTATGTCTGTTCTACCCACTGAGTTATTAGTACATTCATCTGGCCAAACAGACTATAAACTAACAGAATATCACTAAGACATTTGAACTCTCATGTGTAATGTGCCTATGTTACAAATAAAAACAATGGTCTAGATTTTGGGATCTCTCCCTATTTTGGATATCCTCACTCTAATGAAAGCTTTGTGTGTGTGTGTGTGTGTGTGTGTGTGTGTGTGTGTGTGTGTATGTGTGAAAAATCCTCTGCTGAAAAGTCTGTTTCAGTTTCCATTCTAGAAACAAGAATAATTTTTCAAAGGTTTAAAAGTAAGTTTTCGTTTTTCAGGTTTCTAAATAACTACTCAACCCTCCTTCCCTTCTTCCTTCCATCCATCACCATCATTTAATTGAACTAGTGCTTGTTAAGTGGCTACTGATGGATCTTTCTGGAAGGAAAGGTCAGAGCTAGACCTAGAAGGCTGCTTATGGGGCTGAAGTTGACTGTAGAATTTGCTAGAGAACGTTAACATCATTTACGTATTCTGTCTCCGACTTATCCACTTACATTAGTTCTCGCTGAATTCTCCCTGAGCCAGTGTTCTTCGCAAACAAGAAGCGATGGTTGAAAGAAGCCCATTAAACGTTTTCCATCTATTTTTTCAAACATACAGAACATGTGCTGTCTGTTCCCACAATTGTTAGATCGCGGGATGAAAGCCAAAATGCGCCCAGTAATGTCACATTGTCGCGCACTACTTGAAAGATCGAGTTTTGCTCTGGAAGACAAAAGTTTGTGGAAAAGTTTGAGGCCAGGGCCACCCGACCTGTTGGGTGCCAAGCTTGTCTTTGCTTTTGAAAGTCCTCAAAATCCAAATTTATGATGAACTTTGGGAGCGGAATCTAGAAGTGATGGAGTGTGCAAACATTCACAATGCCCATCACCATCATCTCTTTTTCAAGTTGGCTTGGCAGATCCTGGTGGAATCCCAGCTGCCAGAGACAGCGGAAAATATCAGTCATCACCCCAGAGCATGATGATAACATAACAGTGATAAATAGCATGATTTCAGTTAAAGCGTTGAAACCTCTCAGGGAGAAGAATGGGAAGCGGACTGGGGAGACTGCTAGGATTTGTTTTTTTATTTTTTTGTTTTTTTGTTTATTTTTTGTGGGACCCTCGCTGGTGGCCGGGGATCGAACTGGCGCTGCAGAGGCTGCGGGCAGCCTTGCAACCTAGTGCTCAACTGCTGCGCCACCAGGGGAGGCCCGTGATTATTGTGATCCAATAATCACACATTATTGGATGGATATTCTTGAAAATTCAGAACATCGAGCTACTAGGTGTCCGTTCTCTGTGCAATCCTTGTTCCCTCATTTGGGGGCCGAGAGTTTGTTCTTACTGGTGCAAGTGACCGCGATGCCATCATAGCCATAGGTCTGTAGTATGGCGGGTGTAGGGAGATCACATCGGGAAGGCCTACATTCAGCAGATTCTAGAATACTTGCATTTTGTTTTAGAGTAACAGCTACTTTTATGAGTTTGCCTCTGCTGTCTTTCATTACCACAGTGTCGTAGACTCCTCAAGCATGAATTCTTGTAAATCAGCCTCACTGTTTTTCAGAAAATCCTCCTGAAAGGGGGCCCTGTATAAGAAACAGGTGGTTTTTAAGATGGGGTCATCGGCTGGCTCCTTCTCACCTCACTCCAAGGGGCCCTTTCACGAGACCACAGTGTGTCTCCCCTGGCCTTGTCTTCCCTGGGACTCGTGCCTGACAGTTCAGCAGGAGGGCCGGTTGCTCACGGGCATGGAAGCTGTGGAAGTTCTTTCAGATGCAAGCACCTTTGTTTCACAGCAGCGCTTGCGAATTGCAGATTATTTTTGGAGTTATATGACTAACTCAGTTGGCGTTCATTTCTAATTTTGTGCAGAAACTCCTAAAATTTTATGCAGAATTGATCGTAAAGTTAAAGAGAACCATTTTTTGTCAGTATACCAGCTTTGGGGTCATTTGCATAGAAAATGTGCTTTTCTCAAGAGAGGGCACCAGACTAGAAGGCAGCCGTGTGACTGAAAAATGAATTCTATCACACCACCCATTTTCTGCAAACGCCATCTCTCTCCCTCTTTGGGGACCACGGATGCCCTCTGAAGCCAGCATCACAGTGGGGGGCATCTTACATCATATTCAGAAACTCTCCCCCCCGGAGCACTCCAGGCCCTGCTCATGCTTTCCTATCCCTCTCGAGTCATTTGAGAAGAACAGGGCAGCTCAGCCAGCTGCTCTGGGTGGCTGCACAACGTTCCTTGGGGGTCATCTGAGTTTGCAGGGGTCATGACCCAGACTTGGGACCCTGATAGCCAAAACTTACTGAGCGCTCACCATGCATCAGGCACTGCCCACACACATTACGCTCACTTAAACTCACACAGCTCGGGTAGGAACTGTCATTACCCGAGTTTTGACGAAAACGGAGGCCCAGAGAGGTTAAGTTCCCAAGGGGATAGCTGTGCCAGCTTTCTCGGGCAGCCCTAAGGAAGCAGTCGGCCTCAACAGCAGCGTGTCGTCTTGCAGCTCTGGAGGCTGGGCATCCCGGGTCAAAGGAGTGGTTTGTTCCTTGTAAGCGCTGGGAGGGGGGAACTGGTTCCAGCCTCTCTCTGCTGGCAGATGCCATCTTCACACCATCTTTTCTCCATGTGTGTCTCCAGGCCCAGATTTCCCAGAGAGGCACCATCACACTAGATTAAGGGCCACCCCCTGACCTCCTTTTAAAATGATTATCTCCGTAAAGACCCTGTTTCCAAATAAGGCCACCTTCTGAGGTGTGGGGGCTCAGGACTTCAAGATTTGAATTGGGGCTGGGGTGAAGGAGATGTTGGTGGTGCATAATTCAACCAAATAACAGCAGCTAACAGCAGTGGAGCTGGGATTTGAATCCAGAGTCTGGTCCTGAAGCCCAAGTGTTTGTTCTCCACTAAAACTGCCCATTTTTGTGGGTCAGACACTATTGAATAGTGACAGTGCAAGTCAACCTGGTCTATTTCCAAATGATGTCATTCCGACCGGTCTTATACGTGTAATCACCCTCACGGTGCCTGCTCAGTCGTGGAGAACACCCAGGCCTCTTCAGTGTGGAAAAGATGTTCTGTTCCTAAGGTCTTCCACGATCTTCTTAGTACAGTCTCTCAAGGTGAAAAGGCATACATACACACACAAAGCCCCTCGCAAACACCAGCAGTTACTGTATAAAGTATCGCTGGTTTCCTTATGGAATTTCTGTTCTCACAAATTCGGCAATTTTGGACTCCATGACCAGACATGTACGGCTGAGCTCTGAGACCTCTGGTTACAGATTAGCAAAACCATCTCCTTCTGCTGACTTCTGCCCACGGGGAGGAAGCTCTCACCTGAATCTCACCCGGTGAGGTCTCTTTTAAGATTAAAGGTGACAGTTCACAATTGGAGGATGTATCATAAATAGTGACTAAGTCTATCTGCTGTTTTATATAACTTATAAAATTAAGTGTAACCAATAAACTTAATCTTTAAAAGCGAGCATTGCAGAGTAGCTCCAAGGGGATCCTGCTTCTGTCTGAGGTAGGTTTGGTTTTCAAGAACAAGGTAGCTGTTTTGACTATTTCCTGGGTTCTTTTTCCTTTTATATCAATTCATACCCCATCGTGTAAAACATTTCTCATTTCCTACCCCTTAAAAATGTCCCGTCCTTTTGGCTCAGTATAGATTTTGTCACATAGCAGCCGTCTAACTTCTACCCTTTAAGTTTTCCCATTCTATAGGTAACAATATTCCTAAGAGCGATCGGAAAAATCTAGGAATCCCGCTAACTAAATGAGCACCTTTAAGTCCTGTTTACTTGCCATGCGATAATGCTTTGAAGCTTGGCAGAATTAATAGGACTTTGTCTTTGTCCAAAATATCACAATCTGGGCCTCTCTGGTGGCACAAGGGGTTAAGACACAACCTATGAAGCGGTCCGCAGCCACTGCAGTGTGAATTCGATCCCCAGGCAGGGAGCAGCCCACATGGCACAGCAGACCTCTCCTGTCTCGCCTGCTGCTCCCCTCAGCAGTGTATTTCGGTCATCTGCCTGTTCTGTTCCCCACTTTGTCTCTGGTGAATCCTCTCACCCCCTGCACCTCTAGCCTGTACCCCAGCTCTTGTATGCATAAATAAATAAATATTTGAAAAAAAATTCACAACCTGGGGGGCCTAAGTAAGCAGTGCTTATCGCCCTCAATGCTGGAGGCGGGGAAGACAAGATCAAGGCCCCAGCCCATCTGGTGTCTGGTGAGGGTCCTCTTCTGGCCTACAGACCTTGGTATCCCCCAGGGTGGAGACAGGGGGGCTCTGGTCTCCCCCTCTTTTTAGGAAGCAGCTCCTGGAGGGTCCACCCTCATGACTGCATGGAATCCAAACCACCTCCTAAAGACCCCCACCTCCTAAATCAGCTCCCGCGGGGAGCAGGGCTTGGACCTCAGCATCTGGGGGGTCACGGACACGCAGTCCGTAGCAGGTTGAGAAGCAGCGGGAAGGGGCTGCCTGCTCCCTCCTCATCCTCACGAACCTGCTGTTTCTCTTGCTTTCAGGTGTTCCCACCCCCAGCCAAGAAATTCTCCGGCACACGCTGAACACGCTGGTCCGGGAGCGGAAGATCTACCCCACCCCGGACGGCTACTTCATCGTGACCCCTCAGACTTACTTCATCACGCCTTCCCTCATAAGAACTAACAGTAAATGGTACCACCTGGACGAGAGGGTGCCCGAGCGGTCCCAGTGCGCCTCCCCGCAACCCGGCACCATCACGCCGTCCGCCTCAGGCTGCATCAGGGAAAGGACTTTGCCCAGAAACCACTGCGACTCCTGCCACTGCTGCCGGGAGGACCTGCACAGCACGCACGCGTCCACCCTGCAGCGCAAGCCCAAGGACGGCAAGGACCCCTACTGCCCCCCGCCGCTGTGCCAGGTGCCCCCCACAGAGAAGAGCAAAAGTACTGTCAACTTTTCCTACAAGACAGAAACTCTCTCCAAGCCTAAAGACAGTGAAAAGCAGTCCAAAAAGTTCGGGCTCAAGTTATTCCGGTTGAGTTTCAAGAAAGACAAGACCAAGCAGCTGGCCAACTTCTCCGCGCAGTTCCCCCCCGAGGAGTGGCCCCTGCGGGACGAGGACGCCCCCACGGCCATCCCGCGGGACGTGGAGATGGAGATCATCCGGCGCATCAACCCGGACCTCACGGTGGAGAACGTCACGAGGCACACGGCGCTGATGAAGAAGCTGGAGGAGGAGAAGGCGCACCGCAGCAAGGCGGGCTCGTCCGCGCACCACAGTGGCAGGAGCAAGAAGAGCAGGACGCACCGCAAGCCCCACGGGAAGTCGCGCTCGCACAGCAAGACGCGCGTGTCCAAGGGCGAGCCCTCCGACGGCTCGCACCGGGAGCTGGCCGGGGAGCGGGAGTACGACTTCTGCGACCCGCTGACCCGCGCCCCCCGCGAGGGCTGCTTCATCATCGAGCACAAGGGGGACAACTTCATCATGCACAGCAACCCCAGCGTGATCGAGTCCCACTTCCCCATGACGCCGGAGTGGGATGTGTCCGGGGAGCTGGCCAAGAGGAGGACTGAGATGCCTTTTCCGGAGCCTTCCAGGGGCAGCTCCCACTCAAAAGTGCACCGAAGCCACAGCCATACCCAGGACCGACGGTCCAGGAATGAGCGGTCCAACAAAGCCAAGGAGAGGTCCAGGTCCATGGACAACTCCAAGGGCCCCCTGGGGGCGTCCTCGCTGGGGACCCCCGAAGACCTGGCCGAAGGCTGCAGCCAGGACGACCAAGCCCCCAGCCAGCCCTACATCGACGACAGCACTTTACGGCCTGCACAGACGCTCGGGCATCCAAGGGCTCACATTTCGGCCACGAGCTACAAGGAGGTGTGTATTCCGGAAATCGTCGGTGGCGGCAAGGAACCTTCCAGCGCCTGTAGCCTTTTGGAGCCAGGCAAGCCGCCCGAGAGTTTGCCATCTTACGGGGAACTCAGCTCCTGTCCAACAAAAGCAGCTACGGATGACTATTTCCAGTGCAACACCTCCAGCGAGACGGTGCTCACCGCGCCTTCGCCTCTGGGGAAGAATAAGGAGGACCACGACACGCTGACCCTGGCGGAAGGGGTGAAAAAGCTGCCCCTGTGTGATAGGCAGACCCCACATTCCTCCAGGGAGCCTGCGGGGCACAAGGAGGAGTCCCCCAAAGGGCCGGGTGGGATCCCAGCCCCTTCGGGCGCCATGGCCGAAGGGATGGCCAATGGCCGCCTCGTCCAGCACCACAGCGCTGAGCCCAGCAGCCTGGACAAGAGGAAAGAGATATTCAGCAAAGACACACTGTTCAAACCTCTCCACAGCACCTTGTCTGTAAACAGCTATCACAAATCCAGCCTGTCCCTCCTCAAAGCTCACCCGAAGACGCCTGCGGACGCACTGCCAGGACGATGCGAGAAGTTGGAACCATCCCTGGGGACCTCGGTGGCTCAGGCCATGCCTGCGTCCCAGCGTCAGCAGGAGTCCGGGGCCAACCAGGAAGCCTCTTTTGACTATTACAACGTCTCTGATGACGACGACTCCGAGGAAGGGGCAAACAAAAACACGGAGGAGGAAAAAAACAGAGAGGATGTTGGCACCATGCAGTGGCTCCTGGAGAGGGAAAAGGAAAGAGACTTGCAGAGGAGATTTGAGAAAAACCTCACCCTCCTGGCCCCAAAAGAAACTGACAGCAGCAGCAACCAGAGAGCCACGCATTCAGCGCGCCTGGACAGCATGGACAGCAGCAGCATCACTGTGGACAGTGGATTCAACTCCCCACGGTAGGGAGAGGCGTCTGTGGGCACACACATGCACCTGCCAGGGCCTGGGGCTTTTTGCAAATGATTTGAAAGGCTTCTGACTTCACGGTCTCACTTCTGTGGATGCGGGTTGAAAGTCACACGAGTTGTTTTGTTAACGACCTGTTTCTGACTTCTTTTTCAGGAATTGAAAAAAATGTTTCTGCAGCTGTAGAGATCACCAATCTGGACTGGTGGGTTGGCTCCTTCCCTCAAACTTGCATCAGTCCAATCAAACTAAGACCAACATCGCCCAGTTCTCTTCTGTGTTTTTGTAGCGCCACACTGCTGTCAGGGAAGGGTTTTTTAGGCCCTTTAAAAAGAGCGACTGTTTGAGTAGAATGAGTGGTCAGAAGCGGGGTGGGGGCAGGGATTGGAAATAAATTGAGTCTAAGACAGGTGTCTCTAGTGAGAATGCTGTAGCAGATTGCAAAACCTTCCCAGTGGAACCAGAAGCTTGGTGCCACCTTAATGCAGACTTTCTGTGCTGTCCGCCCCCTGGCTCATACACTGTCTCGCCCCCCTTTCATGTCTAAAGAGAATGGAACCTAGTTCCTCTCTCAGAAGGAGCTGTGGCCCGGGCTCTGCTCCATCAAAGCCTGGAGCAACTCTTTTCTTTCCCTTCCTGCAGAATTAATACAGCCCATGTAGGCATTCTCATTGGAGCTGCTGCTTTGTCCAGTAACTCAGCAGAGGATTGACAGTACACAGTATGATACCTGATGGTTATGTCCAGAGCCCTCAAGAGGTCAGGGTTAAGAAAGCCAGAGACAGTCTATGCATCTTCCTTCTCCTCTCCTTAACTCTTCTTTCTCCTCAAAGAGCAACTTGGGACCTAATTCTGCTTCTGAATTCTACTCCAGATTGGTGACTCTGAGATGCAGAAATACTCGTGAGAACTTGATATTTCTCATTAGCTGTGATTCCCGACATTTTACAATATTCATCATTTTTTACCAGTACCTAGATGTGATTTTGTACTTTGTATATTTAATTATTACATCTAAAATGAATTCTTTCGTGATCATTTCACTGTATCTCTGGATGATTTGGGGACGGACCATCCCAAAACCAGAATTGGGAATCGTTACTCTGCTTGTCCGATATCAGGCCCCTGTTGCTTCGTGAAGGACTGGCTCTTGATGATAACAGTGGTCACTTAATGTCTGTTCCAAGTTAACACATGCACAAGTCCTATGTCTAAACCGACCACAGAGATGGCACTCTTGTCACGGTGGGTGAGAGGCTGGGAGCCCCAGATCTCCTTGGCCTGTCTCTGAGGGAGCCCTCAGAGGCCTCAGAGAGCCACTCAGTCTGAAAACAAATGACCCACAGTCATTTTTTCTAAGAAATAATTTCTGCTTATTATTTTCCTATCCCAAATCAAGTCATAATTTATTGGCCAATTATTTTATATTTTCTTTTCTTTCTATTTCCCCCTGCTACTCTTTTTCTCCCCCTCTTGAAGTCCTAGCTGTGGATACCAGATAAGCATAACTGAAGGTCTAGAATCCTGGTAGAAACTTAAAACCATCACTTACAGGAGGTGTGGGTATTTGCCTCTGCCTTTGTGCCTTACTGTTTCTTAGCACATAGACTCTGCCTGCCTGATGCCCTTCACACCACAGATCCCAGCCCTTCATATTGTTCCCTGAGGCACCTGTCCTCCACCAAGGATGCTGTAGTCCCAGACAGTGGCAAAGAGGACACTCGGTGTCATTTAATGGGTTCTGACTGAAAACCTACCACTGTGTAATATTGCAAGACTTTTATTCCTGAAAATATTTGTGACGTAGTTGATCCAGTATCTCCGTGGAATATATTGACTATCTCTAAAGTTGGGGTGTAGAATACAGAATTTGGGATGAGATTATTTCTTGAAATAAGTTTATTGGCATTTCTTTAACCCTGTACTTAATTGTTTAAATGTCGTGGTAGAGGTGACAGGTGTTAGAAGGAGACACCCTTCACGCATTACGGGGGTGACTCCCACTGTTGTTATGGTCGAATTTTCTCTGTAGCAGTAATTCACTGGCCACACATCACTTTCATGCAGTTATAGACTCTATGGAACAATCCCTGATTTTACCCTGTTACTGTCTGATAGCCTTTGGTTAGGAGCTAGGTGAGAGACTTACTTTCTATACGCATTTCTAAACTCCAGTTTCTGTACTCCTCGATAAATTCACTGTGCTGCCTTCTGATGCATGAGGGTGGTCTACAGAGGAGAATATTTGAGTTTTTACAGGGAGTTTTTACTCTTCAGCATGAGGAATTATTTTAGCCAAATCCCACAGTCCCGTGAACCCAAGTATCTGAAGTGGGCTGGGGCTATTTATTCAGATGTTAAACAATTCACTGAGGAACAAGGACCAAATAACAATAAAACTCAAAAGGGTGATCTTCTCCCAAGCTCAGGCTTCAGTGCTGGCTCAGCCACATTTCCAGAATCCCTTCGTCCCTGGTGTTGGGCACTGAGGAGTATGAGAAAGAGAAAAGTCAGACTCCACTGTGCAAGGAGACCCACACTGAAAATGAGCAAACCTGACATGACAGATCTGAGGCCACAAACTAGTTGATAAACCCGGTATGATCATGAGGGACCAAGGCTGCCTGGGGTGGTCAGCCTCGTGGACCACATGACCCCGCGCTGTGTGAGTGGCGCCCGGGGGCGCTTTCTGCAGAAGACGGCCACAGAGCAGCCTGGTCCAGGTCTTCTGCCTGTAAAATCTGGAATCTTTTTTAAATTTTTATTAACTTTTTATTGAGGTAGCATTGGTTTACACCATTCTACAAGTTCCAGGTGTATGGCGTTATAATTCGACGCCTGTCTACCCCCAGAGTCTACTTCCCATCCGTCACCCCTGCCCTGCCCTGTACCCATCCTGGAAATGTCATGTTTAAGTTTGTACTCTAGTAGCTTTCTTTTAAAAGGAGTCAGAACTTTGACTTTTGGGCGATTTTCCTACCGCTAACACTCCATCCCCACTCATTTATCATCATGCTGCCCAGAGCCCGCGATGCGAGTGTCGCACGTGGTACTCGTTATAACAACAATCGTGAGATGCACGCTTTGGAGACACTGGCGCTTTGTGTGTGTTTAACACTGTAACAAGTTGGCGGTGGTCACCGTGGCGAGGGACCCTGGGCACAGGCAGTGCCCGTGGGAATGCCACGACCATGCTGGTGGTGACCTTTCCTGCGCGGTACCTGCCTTATAGCAGGTGCTTGAGAAATGCTAAGCCTCCACCTTAAAAGCTGGTTTAAAAGTGGGTCCTTTCGACCTGAAAATGCATTTTCCCATAGAAAAAAAATGTCATTAGTAATAGAGCAATCCACGCCCCCCACCCGACAAACCCACAATAGCTACTGAGCTCATCATAGGCCAGGGTAAAACAGAAATAATTCACATTGTCCTAGCTTTTGTGCTGTACAGCTTCCTCAGTGATGCCTGTTTCTTCTTCACCATCACTCTGAGAATAGGTAAATCTTCTGACTGTCTGCATTTTAGAGATGAGGAAGGCAGACTTGGTAAAAAGTCCCTGTCTTGATTAAGAATGACGCTGGGGATCATGTCATGAGATCTGTGGGTCTCCTGTTTATTGCCTTGCTTCCTCCCACCTCCTGGCTCTGTGCTTCCATTGCCCTGCTGACAAGCCACTGATGTGTTTGCTTAGGGGAAGAGCCAGGTAAGTCGGTAAGTCTAGCTCTTTCCATCCTTTTCATGGTGATGTTGAGGCCTGCCCGGCTGGCCACAGGTAGGAGAGCACTTGACTTATGTCTATAAATTTATCAATCTTCTGAAGGTGCTCTGTGCATTCAAAAAAGATCAGGTTACTTTTTCACAGTCAATGGACAAACTTCCTTTTAAACCATTAACTCTTGGCCCCGTGATGAGAAGTCAGCTCAGGGCCCCACAGGGTTGAGCTAACCGGTTAGGGCTGCTGAGGTCTTGGGGTGGAGTGAAAAAGGCATCAGAGAAGGCCTGCAGGCCCATCTTGCAGGCTTCTGTCAGTCACCCAGGACCAGCTCTGAGACTATTTTACAAACCTGGATGTCTCCAGAAAAGTGAATGTTTTGTGCGCCATTGTGATTTCTTCGATCCCTGCAAGCTGATAGATTTCTTATTACTATTTTAAGGACCTTGTGTGTGAAACCCATTCAGCTCCCATCAGTCAGGCCGAGTAAGCTCACTTCTGGTATTGCCCAACACAATTTAAAATGTTGAATGATCTAGACCTCGTGGACCAATAACAGATTCAAGTATTTGTGTTTTTTTTTTTTTTCCGATTCAAACATTTCTAACTTAGCAAAATTAAAAGAGAAATGGAAAGTGAAAGCCAACGCTTTCAAATCACCTTTCTATATGACTCTTTTAAAAGTAAAATGTTTCTATCCAAAGTGTGTGTGTAGGGAAAACAGATAAATGTAGACTTTACAAATGAAGGCAGGGTGGAGGGGACTAAGATTCCCTCTCTGAAATGATAATGTTTATTAACTAAAGTGTTACGATTTGAAGCAGAGGTGTGATGTGTTTTTAAAAAGAGGTTATTCTCACTGTGCCAAATGCCAGCTAGTAGCGTGTCCAAAGTCAAAATCTGCTAATCGAGAATAAAAACAGAATGTTAGGATTGAATGATTGAGTTTGTTCAAACTCAGTTATACCCATGCATTTCCAGCCTGAACTGAAGAAATTCCCTATGTGTATTTGCAAATTCGTTTAGCCAATGAATGTGATAGATCTCGAAGTCCGGAGCAGTCTCCTTGAACAGGAGGGGAAGGGGAAGTGCCTTTTGCTGTAGACAACCCCTTTATTCAGCTCGCTGCTCTTGTGAGATGTCTCGTGACCGCTTTGGGGAGTGCACGGCAGAGGAACATGTGTGAATAATCAGTATAAGATGGTATATATGACATTATGAGCCAACAGAGGAAATCCATTAACTACATCATTTGCTCTTCCTCTGGGGCTCGATCTGTAATTATTTATGTTCAAAACGAAACAAAACAAAACCTTTTTACTCTTTTAGCACTAGGGAGAGCCTGGCTTCCAACACGTCAAGCATTGTTGAAAGTAACCGTCGTCAGAACCCTGCCTTGAGCCCGGCCCACGGAGGAGCCGGCCCGGCCTTCAACTTCCGAGCCAGCACGGACCCCCCCACCAACGAAGCTGAGAAACCACAGAAACCTTCCAGCTGCTTGCAAGCTTCTGTGACTAGTGTGTGACGTCCCGCGGCCTCGGATCTCCTGTCTCGCGCGCTACAGCCAAGTTTACGACACTGGGACTGATGTTTACATCTTTGGAAAGACAAGCATCTCGATCACAGTTTTTGTGTTGACTTAAACTGTGCTGCTAAGTAAGCTAGGGCAAAAACAAAACAAAACAAAAAAAAAAAAACAAAACAAAAAACACAACAAAAATCTTGAGTTCAGAGTATTGCTTTTCACATTTATGGCTCTGTAGCAACAGACTAGCAGTAGGGTGATCTGTACACTTGTGCTTCACTAATTGTAACTGAGCACACATAGGGAAGTCTAGACACTGTCAGTGTGATATGCATTTTCAATGTCATGCAGTTGCCAATTCCATTTTCAAATGCCACAGATGCGTGTTGCTCCCAGTCTGTGGGCAAATGGTGCCGCAGAACTGATCCTTGACACTTCCCCCCCAAAACAAAACAAAAGGAAAACAAAAACACCTAAGCCACCCCAAAATGTCAAATGCGAGGGTCCACCTTGAGGGAGATCAATGCCAAACCGAGCAGAAAGGACCCCAGGCCTTTGTGTGTCCGTGGTTTTTGCACCAGTCATTTTTCACTGTGAGTTTTTGTGATTTTGCAGGAGCCCATGGGAGTGTGTCAGAAGGGTCCTCATTGAAATCTTGGGAGTGTTTGTTTTCAGGATTTTGCTTTTAAGTGTAACAGATGCTTGTCTGATTTCTAACCTCCCATAATCACAAACAGGAATATAGGCCTTTGAATCTGAAGTGGACAGAGAAGGGAATACCCAGCCTGGCCGGCCGTGGCCCTAAGTGATGGAAGAGGTAATGAGGACTTGGAAAAGGTGTGAGTCAAATATTTAAGGAAGATAGTTTCCTCCTTGTAATACTTATGATGAACCTATCTTACCCTAATAGATATGATAATTAGTTTGTTTAAAAGCAAAATGTTCTTTGTGATACAAATGAAGAGTATGGCCTGCGGATGTTATTCTTTCTAATGGAAGGACATAAATCTATTTTATGTAGTTTTAAATAGAATGCCTAAATTAGGCTATGGGAAATAATTTTTAGTGGTTATAGGAAAGAGCAAATTTAGGGAGAGTTGAACTTCAGGCCTTTTATTCCTGGGGAGATATCTATAGAGAAAACTTTAAAAGAATTTTTGATTAGAAATATATGTGTGCCCATGTAATTAACAACAGAATATGCTCAGTCAGCAAGTATGGTATAATCCTAACTTGTACTCCCCTAAAATTTATCAAAATAACAATTATGCATACATGAACTATGCCAGAGTAATGTTTACAGATACTTTGTAACCAATTTCAGGAGGCATTTTTAGGTGGATGTATAGTTATTAGCCCAACTGATTTCAAAATGATTTCTTAACATTTTACTTTGCTTTATAATGTCTGTTGAATACAAAGAAAACTCTCAGCAGCAAAGGGATTACAAATAATCAGCTCCATTCAACCTCACAGGAAAGAGATATCTCATCGTTCCCATATTATTTTTTTTTAAATGAGAACAGTGGAATAAACCTATAGAAAATGGACAATTATTTACAAAAAGGTTGCATACGACCCCAGTCCAAGGTCTGATGTCATTTTATTTAGTTTAGTGGTGTGTCATACTTGGAGCCATATGCCATAGAATGTCCATCCCAAAATAAATCCAAAATGTTTTCATCTCCGAGTTCATCCATTGGCATCAAATGTGCAAAAACACGTCTGCTTCAGTTTAGGTTCAATCAGTCATCTACATAGTTGACCTAATTCTCCAAACATTGTGATACTTCCTCCTGCTTTTTCAGATATTTGGAAGTTGTATTGGGTCAAACTGGACTCGTCAAGTGTAATGAAGATTCCTTTTTTGGTGCTTACAGTGAAACGTAAGCGCTCTACGTGGTAAACCCCCACGTCCTGAAAATGCTTTAGTCAGTGGCTTCCAGTCTCATGCCTTAATTCCCAGGCATGCCTCGACTGCTCCAAAATGCACTATTTGTTTCTTGCTTAAATATGTCCAGAAGGAAGGGTCATGCAGCTCGTAAACTATCTATGTAGACCGTTTACTTGGGGAGTTAAATTTTCGGTCTAAATCCCCCTCCACCCTGCCCCATTCTCAAGCATTAATCCTTCCATCAGTTCATACATAATATAGCCCTTGAAACGATCCATCAGCCTCCACCCAGTTGATTCTCTGAAAGTAGCCATTACAATGATCAAATGCTGTGTGAACAGGATAGGGAAGCGTTACCTTTAAGAGAAGCTTTAAAATATGAATTTATCAGTAGTTCACAAGACATAGGTTTACAGAAGACAAATAAAATGTGTAAACTCTGCCTGATGCTACGGGGTGCACGATGATAAGAAAAAATAAATAACTCCCTAGTGGTAGACTTTATGGAGGATTCCTGGTGAGCGGAGTTCTAGGTAGAAGAGTCCCCATCTCAACCGAATGGGGATTCCTGAATAGGGGGAGACGTGGTGGCGGGAAGCAGAACCAAGGTGATCTAAGAAGGTCACACCTGGTGATGGCGCAGGCCCTCTGCAAGCTTCCCAGCCGCCTTTCCTCCCGGGGAGAGGATAGATAGCTCTGGGTACCGGGCTCCAGACCTGTCTCCATTTATCAGCAGAAGGGCTTGTAAAACTGAATCTGGTTGAATCTCTGTGTAGCTTTCAACTCCAAAGGGTCAACCCATCTGTCGGCATTTTGCACACGTATGTATTATGATACAGCATATTACTTTATGGTAATTTTTATTTTTACATATAACTACCTCCATAAATGTGATGAAGCCACAGCAGTGCGTTCAAGTGTATTGTTCAGAAAAGCGAAGTGGAAGCCTTTAAACATCAGGCCACTGTGTTGTGTGTGCGTATGTGTGAGTGTGCGTGCGCGCGTGTGTGTGTCGGTGGTAGCCTGTGCGGACTCGAGACTTTTGCGTTGCCATAGTTTCCTTTGACGCATGATTTCATGTTCTGATGTAAACCTGTCTCTCCTCTCGTCCCCACCAAAAGTACTTGATTTTGTTCCGAATGGACGGAAGCTGAAATTTCGTGTCCCCTCCTCTTACCCCTCCCAGCCTTCCCGCTGAAAGTTCTCTCTGGCCGAAAGTGGGTAAACGTAATTTAGCAAGCGGTTGACCCCAATGAAAATCTTGGTTTGAATTCTAGGTTTTCAGGAGCTGAGGACACACAGACATTGGGACTGTAGCTTGGAAGCGCCTGGGCCTCTGCCTTCACGCACTTGCTGCCGGGGCTGAGGTGGCCCCAGCTCCGTTTTGATTGAGAGCTGGGCTGTGTATTTGCAACTTCTGCTAAATCACTTGTATTGCATTTTACAGATTTTGCATTTCTCAGGGGACCTTAATGAGCATAGGAAAAGGGGAGGTGCCTTCCAGAGAAGAGCCGAAAGGGACTAGCTGGATAAAAATACCAAATGACTGCTTCTCTGCTGTGGCCAAGCCCAAGTTCAGGAAGCAGAAAGTGAGAGTTAATCTGGAGTAATGAGGATCTGAACACCAGCTGTTCCCAAACCTCCCTTTTTCATCACCCAACCAGCATTTCTCAAATGTCAATTTCAATTATCTCATCGTTACCCCGGGGAGGGGGAAAAAACACAAAACCCTATTCAATGAAAACGGAAGCGCGGCTTGGTAAAATTCTCCCTAGGGTAAACCACCAGGTGTGCTTGAAAAATAAAGCTTGTAAGTGATAAGCGTCTTGCTCACAATGCCATCGTGACCATGGTTGGAAAAATCTCACCGTTGGTAACATGGGCAGTAGTGGGGCTTGATTCAAAAACCCAACTGCTACCAATACTGACTTTGCAAGGTCCTTTGGGATCTCAAAGTGCTTCCCAAGTGCTCAGATTCACAACCCGTTACGAAAGCAGGCCCCATAACAAACAGGAGGAGCGACTCCACGTTACCCAGAAACAGTGGCAGCTATCGATCTATTTTCTATCTGTTTGATAGAGCATCATGGAAATCACGAAATACAATGCTATTTTTCTGATGTGTGCTAATAAAGTCAAAGAAAACAAATGCAACTTGACACTTTTGTCCATTTTCATTGAAAAAGTTCAGACCTCAGCACGTCTCCAGGCGTGGACTGCCTGACGGGAGGTGAGCCAGCCACCCGACGCCATGGCCGCCCAGGTGGTCCCCACACACCCTGTTTACAGCTCCATCTTGGGCTTCTCGAATTCCTGTGCTAAAACACCATCTTTCAGGAATATGGCTGCTCCTGGCAGTGGAAAGGTGCTGACACAGAAATCTGAATCAAAAATTTTAAGTACCTTTCATAGTGCTCCTTAGCACCACAGAAATTCGGTACAATAGGTTGAGCCCGACTTCGAAGAGTCTGGACTTCCCAGGGAGCTAACTAGCTTTAAGTGTTGTCTCAAACTTTGAGATGCAAGAGCTTCCAGGGGAACCTTCTCTGTTGCCACAGGCCAGTCCCAGAACCAGCTCGGCAGCCCTGCTGTCAGGAGACAGTGGAACCCCAGCAGAAATGACCCTTTGCTCCCCCCACCCCTCCCCAGTGCTTACGGACCCACCCATTGCCCAGACACCCAGGCCCCTGCTCTTCCCAAGTCACTTACTGCAAGTGTTTGGGGCTCGGGGAAACTAGAGCACAGGAAAGTTGAGTGCAGACACCTCAGAAAACATCGGCTGGCTTTGCATTAGTGTAATTTGAACAGGAAAGAGATGACTGTCAGGCTGATCTTGGCCAAGCAAGATAGAAGAATCAGCTGTCTCTCCACACTCCCAGGAGTCTTCATGGTGTTAAGGAGCCACCCAATATTTGCCTGTAGATTTTTATTTAGGAGACATTTCATCAATGATATATATATATATATGTGTGTGTGTGTGTGTGTGTATATATATATATATATACACACACGCATATAGGAGCACGTCATTAAACTCCTGGTGTGTTCGCATCGCACATCGGCAGCTCCCTAACTGAGCTAATCCCTGTGTCTTTCGCAGCAGCCGCCCAGAGAGAGATTCTCCAGTGATTGCTCCTCCAACACAATCCTGTCTTTACACTCATCCTATGACTTACAGTTGCTGATTTGCAAGGTTCTGAATTCTGCAAGGCTCAAGGGGCACTTAGTCTTCTTCGTACGATTGTCTG